GAATTAATGGAAATGCGGAAATGAACCCCTTTAAAGTTAAACCGATTTGTCACGGTTCAGTCGGTGGTATTAACAATGCCAATAACTAGCTTTTCTACGATTTTAACAATTTTCAATAATGAACATTACCGATGCATTGAAAAGGGACGACAATTACAGTTTAATTGGCGATGTCATCGGGAATAATTGCAGCCAGGAAGAATAAATAGATACGCGCGTTTTAAGATCAGCATAAAATTTGCGCTTTTAGCGTTAAACCGATTTGCCAGGATTTAGTCGATGGTATCAATATCAATGTCGAGCTCCAACGAGACATTCAAAGTGCTGATTAAGATTGCGGCGGCTTGTAACGAGAGCTAGTCACGAAATCCGATAAAACAATGTATGCTGGAAAGATCGGCGATTGCTACGAATAAGAATGATTTGCGTGATTTCGTGCATGCATGACCGATTCGATTGCAGCTACCTCATATCGTGTTACTCGCGCAATTTATGTAGACAATAGCTCGAGTCCTGATACGTATTCTCTCTGTTCGTAAAGCCTTCCGTTCGATCAGCGGATCTTCTGACAAGTCTATTGTTTCAGCCGCCTGCAAATCTAAAGGAAATGACAGATAGTACACACTTTCGCTATATAATTGTTGATTTTTAATAAAGCTATCAACGCACGATTTGCCTAACACAATAGGGGGTGTTAATCAATTAGACACCTTAAGTAAATAAAAAAAAAAATGTATGGGACAATGATTTCGAAGTGTACAATTTTTTATGAAACTATCGACGCACTATTTCATGGCTGCCTACCACAATAGGGGGTGTCAATCAATTACACACCTAAGTAAATAAACAATGGTTTCGAATGCTTTTAAATTCCTTTATCAGACGGCGTTAACCGAGATCGCGTTTTATCTTTGAGGTAATTTAAAGTGTAAGCTTCAGATGTACTTTTAGTAAGCCGCATCGGGTTGAAACAATTTACTTAGAGTCCTTTCTCGATTCGTGTCGGCGGATTGCACATATTCAGCACTACCTCTGCGATCGATCAACAGCAAGTGTCAGTTTATCGCCGGTTGGGGAACCTGAATATCGATCATTCCTGACCGATCGGTTTATACGCCCATACGTAGAAATCAGAAAGACAGAAGTACCATTATTTACTGCCTGGGAGAGAGAATAAATACAGATGAGTGGGTCATGCTTTATATTATCCTGTTTCGTGAGGTTATTTTGTGTTACTTATTGATAAGCGGAAACATTGTACCGGACACCGTTTTATTGATGGCGCATTAATCATGATTAATCACTAAGTCCTATCTTATTTTGATTGCTATTACTTGTGCACTTGTAGCGACATAAGTAAAACAATTTGTTTCAGTCAATGGAGAGTAAAGTAGACGATAAATATCCTTATTCACGAGTTGTATACCTTTCGGCCCGTTCTATTTCTAAGGTTTACTCCTAATTTGCAAGGATAAGGAACACCTGGTGTTCCATGGAGGTGTTCCCAAGGATCTGTCCGTTCTTTTTCAAAATTCAAGGGAAGGTTACGATATAGATTTCGAGGTCTAAGATTTACTCCTAATTTGCAAGGATAAGGAACACCTGGTGTTCCATCAAGGTATTCGCAAGGATCTATCCAGCATAGGCGTGGATCTCACGAAAGGAACCGAACCTGTTCCATGATTCACAGGTATGCACTTTGGCGTATATACTTTGCCACGTGAGTGCAAGCTTACAGGTGCTAAGTATATGCCCATCTACTGTCTTAAGTATACACGCCGCCGACAATCGATGCCAAATTAACACGCGTACTCGCGAATCACGATCACGAGCGTGACCGATACGCAAGTCGACCATAAAGCCGCATTATGTGAAATAACGCGGATCTAATTGCGCCTTTTCGTATTTACGATCGGTTTTCGTGCCATCCTCCCATAACTTCGCTATCAAAATTGAATAAAAATAATGTATAAAACTTGTACAGGGGCATTGCTCAAACGTTTCATGAATAATTACAAAGAAAAGAGTAATCGCGTCGACGGACATCCATTCCACCAAGTCATTTGTTGCAATTAAACGCGTTACAGTTTTACACAAAAATTCGCAGAATATTATAATTTCTTAGAAAATAAAATATTTCATCGGAGTAATTACACGTTCTTTCTATCAAAACACTGTTATCTGTTCCCAATGAACATTATTAAAGGAAATCATTTTTTCTTTCCTTTTAATCAAAGAAATTGTTTTCTCAGTGTAAGTGCATCCCCGGTAAGCAAGACGGTAGTAAGACTCGTTTATTCAATTTAAGAGTACCGATGTTTAACCAACAACGAGTATCTCGTTGCAAGTTTCGATAATCAGCGAGAGGCCTCTCAAGCGAAGCAATTATCGGCGTTACATACTCGGATTACACGAGTTTTGAGCTTCCAGAGAATTACGCGAGATACGAGGATCGATTGTCGTTGTTACCGCAAAGGGAGCCGTCTCGCCGATTTATCATCGGACAGATTACGCTTTATCTTCTCTCGAGGAGTTGCAACGACCGATCCCGACATGAATCCGCGCTCGACGGTGGGAAAAATCGAGATCGAGGAAAAAAAAATCGGTTACGCTCGATAAGGAGTGCGGAAAGATCGTGGAGCATGACAAACGATACCCGAGATTGTGCTCTTTACATTCCAAACAAAAGTTTGTTGCCTCCTCGAGTTCGCACAGTGTCGATTGGCTCCTGTGCTTAGGCCTTGACTTTCCAATAAATCGGATAAAAAAGTCGCTATCTTTAACATTTCATTATTCGAGGAGTTTTATAGATACGGTTGAGGTTTCTTTTGTCCCAGGGGCTATTCACTGGGAAGTCAATGGAAACGACTTCCTTCTTTGAGAACCAGTTGCTTTTGGTTTTAAATGATAAATAAGCATGTGATTCGGTAACAAGTGATGGTTGGTCTTAAAACTGTGATAATATTTCGTTAAATTCCAACGATTTCTAATGATTTATGCTGGGGATTCACAGCTGAGAATTAAAATCCATGATTTCTTGAGGGGAATAGTTCCTAAGTTGTTTCGGCGCCATCATGGCGGAATAGTATACCAGAAATCGGAGTCGGTGATAAAATACGAGACGTGCCGACTCATGGCCCCGATTGTCTTGGAAATTGTGCACTCTCGTCCATTTTGATAAGCTCGAGTCAAAAGAAAAAAAAAAAAAAGAACGGACGGGAAGCAACGTTGACTCTTTCTGACATTATACTCCGTGTGTGATAAGTCGAGGGAAGTTTAGGCACGATGCAAACCATGGTCACTTTTCAAGGCGCTGTCTCCGATTTGAAATACAGTCCTTTTGAAACAACTAGATTGCACATATATTACGCTGATTTTCCGCTTAAAAAGGACGTTTTTAAAAGATGCAAAATCTATTCACGCGTTATGTAAAAATAAACCGCCGGTAGGTATAAATCGCTGGTACTCTAAGCGGGATTCTATACAATCTGCGCGAGTTCGACGCGATTCTCAGAGCACGCATTCCATGGTGAACAGGCTCCAAAGTGCAGCCTCCCGAAGAGTCCGATCCTCTCGAGTTCGCCGGATTTTATAGTCCTTCGACTTTCTCCCAGGTCTAAAACAACTTATCGCTGTTCTAAGAAAATTTGCCCCGCTCTCATATTTTTGCGAGTCGACTCTCCCTCCCCCATCTGAAGTTGCCTGAAGCAAGTTCTCAAATCAAAGTTCCTTCCTCAAAACTAATATCCATCTGGAATAAAAAATGACCTCCTAAAGTATAATAATCATCCATTTTCCCATTTAATTTACGACATATCGACTCCCGACATGTCGGCCATCTTGGATCGCAGGGCCTGCCGGGAGCATCTCTCACTTACTCGCGATCAATGGCGACTCTGAAATCAAAATCCCTCCCTAACCCACATACCTTCCTTAAAACTAATATCCACCTGGAATAAAAAAATCACCTTCCTCTAAACTCTAATAATCATCCATTTTCCCATTTAGTGAACGACATATCCACTCCCGACATGTCGGCCATCTTGAATCGCGGGGCCTGCCGGGAGCATCCATCAGACTCGCGATCAGTGGCGGCTCCAGTTCGACGGCCGGCCGAGCGGTGGAGGGGAAGTAAAGTATCCTTACCTCCATAAACGTCCTCCGTTCGGGCCTGGCTCCTCGGGCGGCGCGTCGGGGGCGACTCGCTCGTTCGCGGAGGTCCCGGTGATCCGGATGCCATCCTGGGTGCGCGGCGGGGGTTCCTGCGCGCGCCGGCTGCGCGGTGGCGGTGGCGGCGTGTGGTGGCGCGCGGTGGCGCGTGGTGGCGCGTGGTGCGTCGGGGCGGGCGGCCGCTCGGCGGCGTGCGCTCGACTCGGCCCTCAGTCTCCGACTCTCCCGGTGTCTCGTACGGCCATGCGTCGTTCACCGCCGCGTTCCGCATCGCGCCCGACGAGCACCTCGGACCTGCCGACAGCAGCGGCCTCCTCGCGGCCCGACCGAGGCGCCGCCTGCCCGGGATCGCGCCGACCACCGCCGACCGGCCGCGACCGGGGAAATCGGCGGAGTGCGCGAACTGCCGCCGACGAGACACCCCGGGGCCGAGCACGGCGCGACGCCCCGCGAAAAATCACCGCCCGGACCCGCGCGAGCCTATGAAGTCGCTCCGGGTCGCTCCCACCCTGGACGGTCCGCTATAGCACCAGAGACTGCCGCACCACGTGGACGAAGTTCAGGAGGAACTCCGGCGAGGAGTTCTAACCTCAACGAGAGACTAGGTAGCGTTTCCAATTTATGGGGTTTAAACGGTAAACCAACGACGCTGCTCCACGTGGATGGTGTTCGAGAAGAACTTCGACGAGGAGTTCTCTAACCTCACCGTAATGAGGTTCAATTAATCGTATACTAATGAACAATGCCAGAGGGCGCTGTATCACGTGACCGAAATTCAGAAGGAACTCCGGGTCAGGTGCTAGTTAAGCTTTCGATAAATCACGAAACATTCGGTTACTAAATGTGAACGTTTACCGGAAAATCCCAAGTGTTCGTTGGGACGAGTAGGAGACTTCGGAGTTCCCGAAGAACTCTTTAGGAGCGCGTGAGAAATTCTTTGTGGAACTTTGAAGAAATCAATGATGCAACATGTGGAGTATTTTGCGCCACGGGTGATAGACGAGAAGTCTCGCTCTGGAGTCCACGGGTGAAAATTCGAGTCGCGTCGCATCTCGTATTTTCACGCCTTGTGAAAATTTCTTGGACAAACCGAGGAACCGGCGAGCGTGCTAACGCGGGGTGCACGGCAAAGGTGCATTCCTTCGTCGAAGAAAAACCGCTAAAAGCAACATGTCTTCGAGGGGTTTGCTCCCTGTGATTTTTTCCCCGCCTGAAGTTCTTGCGGACGCGCCGCGTCGAGAAACTGGCCTCTAACTGAACTCTAACTTAACTGGACTGTAACTGAAAACACGGAGTTCACGGCGTCGGTGTTTACGTCGCGGGATTACGACCGAGCGACGACCTCGGATCGGCCTCAGTTAGTGTTGATCCTTCCGAGATTCGACATCGCGTCCAGGATGGTTACATAGGCTTTTTTCTATCGCCCGTTTATTCCCGAAAAATCCGCGAAGGATTTCGGAATAGAGACCCGGTGATAAGGACGGGCTGCCTGATAAACCGAGCTAAGCCCGCCGGCCGAAGAGCTCGCGTCTCCGGGGTAACTTGGATTTCCTATCACCGGCCTAGAGGACTACCTGAACATAAATCATGAATCGTCGATAAAGAGAGGCCACCTCGCGATTAGATAGTTCGCATCTCCGCCGAAATCACTCGGGCCCTCCTCTCCTGTATCTCGTAATCGGTATTAACGAATAGTGCGAGTGATGTAACCCGACCGCCAGGAATACTCCACGAAAGGAATATTTGGAGTGATCGAAAGCGCGTCTGGGTCTAAGAAGTCAAACCAGAGGATAATTCGACTCTCGGGATATTTTATTCCCATTCAAGGAGGGAACGATAAGGTCGAGCGAGGATTTCCCTGGAGACGCTGAAGAAGTCCGTCGGTGGTCTCAGGGAGGACTTCAAACGCGAAGTAGCCGAGATATTTCCATCGTTATCAAGAGGAAGATTTTTCGCACCGACGCGTGGTATCGTTCCTGCAGGACTAAACCTACAGGACCAAATCTACAAGACCAAACTTACGAGGCAAAACCTACATAACCTAGTGTACAGGATTAAACTTACAAGGGAAAACCTACATAACCAAACTTCCAAGACATAACTTACATAACCAAACTTCCAAGGCATAGCTTACATAACCAAACCTACAGGACCAAACCTGTGGGAGCAAACCTGCGCAAACTCTTCGGCGCATCACGAAAGGGCCTCGCCCGGAGGGGGAGGGCTCGCGGAGCGTTTTTCGGCAGCACGGCAAGGAATCGGGAATAATAATCGCCGATCCCTGGGAGATCGTTAACCTCGGCCTGGCCGGCCGGAAGACACTACACCCTGTAACCTCGAGACGCACGAGTCGCCCTAAACCGGCGCCATTATGTGGGAATTATCGGGAACTCGTTCCCCGGGCGGCGAGTACGAGTCCACCGCCCAGGCGAGGCCGAGGACGGTCGGCAAGTGCGCCGGCTAGGGCGTCGTCGACGTCGACTCTCGTTACGAGTTCCGAGGTTGGATTACAGAAATTACGCGTCTGCGGCCCGGTAAGTGCGCGAGCCGCGCACTTACGCGTTCTACGGAGTTCCTCGCGCCCAAGGAGGAGGAAAGTAGAAGTGAGGTTAGGAGAAGCGGCGCCCCTTGGTGGACATTCGCTCGGGGGATCCTTGAAGAGGATCAGGTCGGATTGGTGGATCTGGAAGGGAGGTCAAGAAGAGGTGTTACAAGATATTGGAGGCTGGAGTGGAGACGGGTATGGAGGGAGGATATATGAATTAAGTGGAGGCAGGACTCGAAGGAGATTCGTTTGTTACTCGAAGGACCCTTGAAGAGGAATCACCTGTGCAGGATTGGAGGATCTGGAAGAGAGGTTAAGAAGAAGCCGCCTTCCAGGATATCAGAGCTCCTGGAAGAGTTAAGAACTGGGTTAGGAGTCGCAGGGGATTTCTTGGTGGGCTAAGGATCCTTGCAGAGGATCTGTACCTTCAGTTAGTGGATCTGGAAGAAAGGTTCCAAGATATAAGGCTCTCGAAAGGAGGAAACCGGGAAACTGGAGGAGTACGTGCACCGCTTTGGTACTCGAAGAAGGATATTCCCTCGGTGCTTACAACATCCTTGGCAAGGATCAGGACATCCAAGATCGGTGGGCCTGGTAGAGGAAGAGGTCGGGGGAAGGGAAAAGTATGTACGCGGTTGAATTCTCGGTGGAGTTGGTACTTGAAGAAGGGCGAGGCTGAAGGGCGGACATAAAAACAGGAGACGGAAAGTTTGTGGTCTCCAGTGGGAGAACCTCGGGAGAGAGACGGTCTGGTCGGTAAATCGGAGTACAAAGAGGAGACATAAATTCCCCGTATAAAGTGTGCAAAAGTTGGCCAGGTTTTTGGCAAAAGAGAAGTGCTCCCTTCAAGAACTCCGGGTCGAGTGGAGCCCCGAAAAAAAAATAATAATTCCCGAGTTTTCTCACTTTGGTTGCTCCGTTCATAAACGGTCCATTACATGCAACGCTTACGAGCAACTTATTAAATCGGAGCACCGTTGGTACCGCCGAAAAGAGGTCGCTGGCATCGTCGGCTGCAGAAAATCAAAAGGTGCGCTCAAAATTGGAAAATCGAGGCTGGGAGAAATAAAAAGAAATCTCCAGCCGTCGACTTCGGAGTCATTTAATCCATTTAACCGGGCTTGCAGGTTTACGGGATGTTCGGTGATGTGCGGAGCCCAAGGTAGGAGTGTGTGTACCCGTGGGTGCGGACGTGCGTGCAATCCTGCGATAGAGTGACCGAAATCCGCGGGGTGGAGTCGCCGGCCCGGACGGAACGAGACCCGACGTCCGGAATCCGCTCCTTTTGGTGAGTACCGACCAAATACCTATAACCATGTGCACCTCGTGCACCTCGAGCAAGACCCACCGACGTGTACCTGAGAAAGTACCCAGCCTCTGCGTGCACCTGTGCCGAGGTGTGCGTACACGCAAGTGGCCATTATCGGCCGAGTCATCGCGTCAAGCAGGGCCGAGGGCGACCGAGGGATTTCGATGAGCGAAACTGGCGAATTTTCATCTCTTCGTATAATATCCTGCACCGAATCTTAAATGAGAGCGTTACGGCGGTAAATATGCTGCATCTTGAATGAGAGCTGGGAGAGACGAGGTTATGTGGAGATGGCGGGAACTTTGTAAATCATTGAAAGGGTTGTACCTGGTGCATTAATTTCTTGAGACGTTTTTCTGGGAACGAAGATTAAGAAAGTGGAATAGGGAATAAATATGTTGCACCTAACATATAATAAGGGTCGCGAAATGAAATTTTTGGTATTTAGCAAAAGCGAGTACCAGAGTGCACGGATTTTCAGGAATATTTTTATAGGAGATATAGATCTGGAAAGTAAGAGGGATTGTCTGAGTGTTTTTTTGGGGATTTTTAATGGGAGCTCGTGTAATTTATTAAATGGGACCACGGGCCCCTTGGCGAAGTGTTGACTTCCTGGGTAAATTCAGGACTTCCGCGGGGCGCGGCTAAGAAATCGGCCCTAAATCCGGCGGGAAAATAAATATCGAGCGGCACGTTCGATCCTCTCGTATCGACTGGCGCAATAAAAAATTGGGCAAAAGGAAAGGAGGATAAACAAACGGAGGCAACCCGACGCGAAGCGCGAGATCGTCAATCGCCGCTTCTTCGACCCGCCCCGTTAAATCGCGGGCTCGACTCGCGAGTTATCGCTCGGGATATCGATGTATCGACCCCTGGCCCTTCGATGATTTGTTGGTACCTTCTCCTTTCCAGTGCCGAAACTTCGAGTCAATCAATTATTTAGGCATATCATATCGCGAGGGGAATTCCCAGGTTGCGGGAAACTTTCGAGATTTCAAGTCGCATCGATTATCGATCATCTTTCCATCAGAGGATTTCCCTGGTACTTTCATCGTTGCATTGCCGAAGTCACTGATCAATGAATTGTTCGGCTCAAATTCCATCTTCACACCTGCCATCGTTTTTGTCGGGACTCTCGATCGAGCTCGCTTAACAAACATTTGCGATTCGCGCCTCTTTATCGCGATAATCGGCGCAATTTTTGGCGGCCCACCTCGCAGTGCAAACTGCACTTGTCGGGGGCTGGATGCGCTGATTGCACGCCTCGAGTAGTCCGCCCGGCGATTTATTGCGAGAAACCTGCCTTATGGTGTGCCGATCGTTAAGGGCCGATTCTTCGAGAGAGAGACGAGGAGAAAACAGACCACTAAAGTCTTTGGCAAACGTTGCCCTCGTTTATACATTCGATACCCCCGAGAAAATGTTCCGGAAGATCGGGAAGATAAACTGTGAGAAATTTGAATCCTCCGGAAGAGGGGAAAATCCACCACCAAACCTCTTCGGCAATGTTGTTCTTGTTCGTACATCCGGTATAATCGAGAAAATGTATTCGGAAAAATCGGGAAGATAAATTGATAAATTTGAATTAATTTACTTCTGAAGGGGGAGTCTCTTTTAACCTGCCAATCTTTAATAAACAATTTTGCCCTCCCCGAATGACCTGGTTCTATTACACGGTTCGGTTAATTCATGTTTTATGCATGTCACATTATTTGCAAGCGCTCTGTCCGGTTTCGCGTTTTTCTATCGCGGACACCTCGCGATGACACCCGCGGTGTCGCCTCCACGGAAAGATATGGACGAATAAACTCTCCCGGGGGAATATTCCGCGATCGATTATCGACCCGATGTCAAAAGGAGGATGTTAATTGATTTTTATTCCCTATTCCTTATTCGACGATCACTTATGCCCCGTGAACACGCGAGCATGCCTCGTGCCTCGATGAATTACTCCTCCGACGTGCGTCTTTCCACGTGTCTAGACCTTGAAGTAGAGCACAGTCGACTCGAGGACTTAGACGAGTCCTGAATAAGGTGCAAGGACCACATATCGATGCACCGGAATCCTAATAACCCATTACCATTTTTCCACCTAACATTCTGCACCGGGAAACAAGAATCAATCGCGTATGTTCGGTCCTTGCTCCATCAATTTGTATAACGACCAAGTATTTCGGGACTTAATAAACGAAACTCAATAAATCAAGTTTATGTTGATTTCATGAATACGGATTATCTCAGTTGTTAACATTTAATTAAATACCATTAAGATATTTTTTTATACCTAATTCAATTATGCATTCGATGTATATTCTCAAATCTTCTCTATGTTCGCGTGTACCGCTGAGAGAAGGTATAACAAAATATCTTTCTATAGCGTTCATTCATAAAATTAATGATAAAAAGAGGCGGCTTCTTAATCGGTTCACGGCGAAAGGTGTCAGGAATTTTCTCGGGTCGTTTATCGAGGCTTATCAGGGAACACGTTGAGGTCCTTCCTCTTTAAGGTCGAAGGCCTCACTTGAGACGGTCAGGTGTGTCGCGTATCGCTTAGGTGAATTTAATGCTCGTTAAAACGCTCCTCGTTGCTGTCGTCAAACGTGATCACGTAGTTCGCGTAGGGGAATATCGCACTTTTTAACGCGCGCGATGTATCTCCGTATTAAACAGTCAGATTACAGCGCGCGAGAGATTCACGGTCAACCGGGGTGAATTTATGATCGCGTACCGTATACAAGTATACAGGCTGAACCTTCTTCATATTTCAGTTCTGTCGTCAACGTAGAATCGGTCGTTAAGCCTGATTCACACGACGATCGGCGGTGCTCGTATAACAAAGTGCGCCTTCCTCTCGTATCTTCGCGATGACTTAACAAACCGAGGGAAATATCAAATTGAGACGGAATTACCTGTACATTCGGATGATCTCGCAGTCCCTACTGTATTAACAATTGCTAAACCATGTACCAGATATTCTCTACATTTAAGGATTAAATATTTAACAATTTGAGAAATTAAATCGGCATCCGGGTAGATTTATACCGTATTTATTTTCGTATTTTTACATTTTTACACGATTTTTTTTTTTTATGTCAAACAGACGGAATATCTGTAAATTCACGTAAACTCGCGGCCCCCACTTTATGAATGATCCTTATGCTGTGGCCTAATTATTTCCATATTTATGGTATCAGATATTGAATAATTTGAAAGATCAAATCGACATCCGGTAGATTTACCGCGAACTATTCTCGTATATTTTAATGTTTTTTTATGCCCATTTTTATATCGTCGAGGCCCTGTCGTTTAGGAAGTTTGACGAAGAGGTCCTTGAAGACGAGCTTGCATCAATTGGCGTATTGTTTTAATGGAAGGTTTCGGAGTCCGATGATGGGATTTCATATTTCTCGGGAGGTTATTTCGGTCCGTGAGGTTTCGGCTGTTTTTTTTTTTTTAATACCCGAAAACGCACGTCTAGGGACAAAGTGACGAAGACGTTCATACGTCACCGTATTCGAGTACGTCGGCGATGTGCTAATATTGACGGAACCTTCAACGCACTTCGGGAGGCGCAACGTGCATTTTCGACGTCCACGTGAAGTCATCGGATCGGCGAAATCCTGGAATGCTTTGACGTACAAAGGACGGAATCATCCCGGGAAAGGAAAAGAAATACGGCGTGGACTGGAATATTAATAAATAAATATAGAAAGAAATCCCGGTTAGGGATCCGAAAAGTGGGGAGACGGTCTTTGCTTAAAATCGTTAAAAGGGATCCGAGGACTCTGAAGGGCTGTTAAAAATACAGGAAAAAAAAATTATACACGCGTGGGACTGTTGTTAAAAGGAATTTGAAACACGCGGATGGCGAAATGTGAGTCCACCCTGATAAAAATGCTCATGTTACGTACTCGATCATTTGTTATTTCGATGCCAGGATAAACTAAATTAAAATTACGTCGTTCCTGTAACATCACATTCGGCATCTATGTTAAGTTAAAGAGAATTGTACGGCAACGTTACATTTAGTTGCGTGGGTTTATATATTTTCTAATTTGTAGTTTCGCCAGTTTATCGGGTTTCTATGTGAAACTTCGGTTAGTGAGGTGTCTAAAAACGGATGTAAATTTTCGTCGGTTTTTTTTATCGGTGCAGGGGTCTTTGCCTAAAATTGATAAAAAGGATCTGAAAGACGCGAGTGGGGAAAAAAGAGTCCAGAGTCCTCGGCCTGAAATTGCCAAAAAGGATCCGATGATCGCGGGAGACCCTGAAGAGTCTGGAAAAAGTTGACCGTTGGAACACGGGGATAAAGGGGGGGAATAAATAAACAGTCGACGCCGGAAGTCTTCCGGTGACACGTTATCGCGCATTTCGGTTCGGCCCGAAATAACCGGGTTGTCTGTCATAGCGCGAAATACCGGGGAATAAAAAACGGCGACCGGTGATGTCGGGGCCGGCAGAAAGCAAGGGAAGGTTTACTTTCGCCTTCCTTTGAAGTAACGTCTCTGTACCGAAACGCACGGCTAGGTGCGCTTTACGCACTTTACGCGAATCCAGAGGCAAGCCGGTGCAGAATGCAACGTCGAAACTCGTTGTTCACCTCGCGTGTCAAACGGTCTGATTCACTACCTTCTAGTTATTTATAAAAACGCCAGGTGGGACCTGAACTTCCGAAAACCATAAAAATTAATCTCCCTTCGACTACCGCGCCACGTGTAGAAAATAACCCCCTAAGCTTCGAAAGGCGTGAAAAAAAGTGTACTAAATACGCTTTCATTCATTTTCTTTTTTCTTTTTTTTTCCTATATACCCTCGCTCATTAGCCGGACGTGGGGTCGGTTAGGTTAGGTCAGGTTTAATCGATGATTAGTTAACACGGGATTAGAATTAATCGCGCGATTACCGGTACTTACCTAACTGCGGAATCGTCGGTTAGTCTAACTTTTATTGGTGCAGCGGGAATTTCACTAATCCGGGGT